GGTTATTGCTATAGTTGGAAATAAAAATTGTCCTCTGATACATTTAGATATAAAATTAATTTTTCTAAATGGTCCACTACAAGAAGAAGTTTATGTGTTACAACCTACTGAATTTGTGATAGAGAATAAAAAAGGGATGGTGTACAAGCTGCATAAATCCTTATACGAGCTTAAACAAACTCAAAGGGCTTGAAATCTGAAAAATTGATTCATTTTCAGGCATCATAGATTCAAAAAAATGTGAAATAGAGTATGGTGTGTATGTTTAGAATATCTCTAATAGCATTATGATCTTGGTTTATCTTTATGTAGATGGCATGCTAGTGACAGGGAGCTATAATTCTGAGATAAACAAGTTCAAAAGGCTACTAATAAAAGCATTTGATATGATTAGCCTTGGAAACAAGGTATATTTCATAGGGATGAAGATTTTACACACTAATAAGGGAATTATTGTGGACCAACTGAAGTATGAGCTTGAGTTACTGAAGATATTTGAGTTGATGAATTGTAATTCTATAGTCACACCTGCAAAGATAACCCATAAAATGGATTCTGATGCTGATGATGAGGAAGCAGATGTTATAACTTTCAAACAGTTGGTTGACTCTCTGAAATATTTGTGTAACACTAGGCCTGACATATGTTATGTAGTTGGAATGGTAAGTAGGTTTATGAATAAGCCAAAGTGGTCGCATTACCAAGCTGAAGGAATTGAATTTCAAGGTGAGTAAACCAATAAGGTTGATGATTGACAACAAACCAACCATGTCTCTTGCCAAGAATCCAATGTTGCATGAAAGAAGCAAACACATTGACACAGTTTTATTTTTATGCAATCAAGTTCATAATGGGCTGCTTGAGGTTGTTCACCGGAGCACTCAGAAGCAACTTGTAGATGTGTTGACAAAGACAATTAAAACTGAACACTTCGTCAATTTAAGGAATGAAATTGGCGTTGTTGATGTTTAATCTTAAATATGAATTAAGGGATGATGTTAATTGTAATTTAAATTCAAGTTGTTTAGTTTTAGTTTCATTTAATTTGCATTTGAGTTTGGGCTAGTGTATATATAAACTTAAAGTTAGTTACAATTAAAGAAAAAAGAAAAAAAAAATAGAGTTTGTTGAGAAATCATAATATAATTGCTAAACATGAACCTTTCGAACTCAAAAACCTCTCGTTATGTATGATCCAAGGAAACCTATGTCCATAGCATGTGGTGAATATGAAAGTTCCGTGATGTAAATTGAAGTGTCTTAACATTGAGTTGCATACATCATGCGATTAATCTTAAAGATTGATAATCCTTGAAAGTTGATATTGACATCTTATTAGGCAAATTATCAAAAGAACAGTGTGTTCTTCTAATTTAGAGATGAAAATTTCTATTTATAGAAAAATTATACAAGTTGCATATGTGTGACACAAGTATTCCTTTTACATTCTGCAAAATTGAAATTATCTTAACTAGTTCTAAATTTTTTACAAAAATTTCTAAAGTAGTTATCTTGCGATTAATCTCAAAGATTGATAATCATTTGAGAGTTGATACTAACATCTTATTAGACAAATTATCAAAAGAACAATGAATTCTTTTAATTTAGAGATAAAATCTTCTATTTATATAAAAAGTATACAAGTTGTATGTTTAACACACATCTTCCCTCTACATTATGCAAATTTGAAACTATATTAACTAGTTGTAATCTTTTTAAGAGAATTTCTAAAGTAGTTATCTAAATGTAGATTAACAAATTCTTCAAGTTTTAACACATGTTATTATTAAGAAAAAAACAATTAAACACATAGAAAAAAGAAAAACACAATAACAATACAAGAGATTAACGTGAAAACTCTAAAGTTGGAGAAAAAACCACATCCGTTGTTAATAGACAATCAAAGAATAATACTATGTGAAAATTATTACAACACATAAAATATCCTCAACTAATTCAAGTCTCAGTACATTCACACCCTCCAAAATAAATATTTAACTATATCTCACAACACCCTAATACAAGAGCATAATAGAGTATCTTTAGTGGGAGTATCTTTAGTGGGTAAACTAAGATATTTTTTGTGGGTCCAAAGTGATTTGTAGGATTTAAAAAATTTATAGTTGATTTAAGTTGTTTTTACTTTAATGGGAGTTACTTATAAAAAACTAAAACTTGACCCTATATTTTAATTCTCATTAGTTCAAAAAATTTGTGGGCCCGTTGTTTTCAAAAAATTACAAGACTTTAATAATATAAATAATAATATTATATGTTTCAAAATAAGTAGCATACGTTAGATATATAATTGTCGGAAACTAAAAGTTAGTGAATTAAATGTTATGTCATAGCCACTCCAATACAAATTCTTTATAATTATCGTTAACTATAAAAAACTTAACTATTAAAAACCTGCATTAGAGCATCTTTAGAGCATAATTATCGGTGCTCAAATGACATTGCTACACGGTTTCCAAAGTAACGATGTCAGAAGAAGACGGATAATTTATTCTCCAATGCATTTTCTAATTAAGTAACGTATTCAAACTAAACAACGTTCTACAAGTGTCATGTCGGACAATAATAATAAATGTAGTATTGATGACAAAATTCATATTAATGATAAAACCACTATAATAAATGTAACAGTAATATTTTCTTGATAGAATAATTCAACGGTAATATTTCAATTGCAGACCAATATTAAATTGTAATGACTATAAATTAATGACTATATTATTTATATTTTAGTAAATAATGACAATATTAAAGTGAACAATATTTTAATTTATTAATAAACTAACGGTAATATTTTTCATTCTTATAAATAGGTTATTAATTTCACTACAATTTTTATTTACAACTAGTCTAACTTTGAACTATTGATTTTATCTCATCTTAAATTTTTTCTTCTACACATTTATTTGTCAATGGATCCCAATCAACATAACCCTTGGTCTAATTTTATGCAAAATGGTGGTAGTCCTCCTTCTATTCCAAATCAACAAAGTAATCCATATTTTAGAAATACACCGTTTATCTCAAATCCACACCATAATCCAAATTTTCAAAACTCACCTTTTATCATAAATCCACAAAATAATCCACACTTTGGAAATTACTCATATCATCCACCACCTTATCCATATCAATATCAACAATTTACATCTCAATCAACTAACTCAACTATGCCTCATGGGGATCAAATAGGTAGTAGTGATGCGCAATCAAATGATCAAAAAGATGAAACACCACAATTTTGTACTCAAGGTAGCTTAGAAACAATTAACCTTGGTGAATAAGTTGCATCCGTACGTGTTGTGAATACGCATAAACAAAGGTTCCAACAAAAAGAGGATTAAATTCTCATTCAATCATGGCTTAACGTTTCAAAAGATTCAATTATTAGGGTTGATAAAAAAGGAGATAGTTTTTGGAAGCGGATCAGTGAAGCTTACAACAAGCACCGTGACATTAACTACAAAGAGAGGAAACCGACGCAACTAAAATGTCGATGGCATAAAATCAATTCATCTGTTCAAAAGTTTGTTGGATGCTACAAACAAGCTGTGTCTACACAACAAAGTGGAAGTTCCGAGAGTAATATCATGCAAGCTGCATATAAAATCTATTTCCAAGATGAAGGTGAAAATTTTACTTTTGAAGTTGCATGAAGATTATTGAAAGATGAACCTAAATGGCTCGCAGGTTCATCAGAAGCTTCTACAAAAAGAACAAAGAATTCAGCTTCAGGAGCATATTCTTCATCTTTTAATCTACAAATGAGCAGCGAACACGATCCATCATCACCTACTTTGTCTTGCCGTCCAATCGGTCAAAAGGCAGCCAAAAGGAAGGAGAAAGAAAAGCTTATGGAAATGTCTTTTACTCCCAATGTCAAATATGATTCTTTGAAAGATGACTTAAAAAAAATTTTGATCTGATGTCAATGTTTGCACGGGACTATGCACGCATTGAGGGTGAAAAAGTTAAGATAGAGAGAAAAAAGGTTGATGCAAAGATTAAGAAGGCTGGGAGTGCTGAGGAGAGATTGAAGATGAATGATCTGCAAATACTCTCAAAAGATACATCAAATATGGATACAAGACAACTACAAGCTCATGATATGTTGTGCGACATGATTAGAGAAAAATATGGACTTAATTAGTATGATTATGTATTTTGGGCTTAATTAGTAATATTATGTATTTTGGGCTTAATTAGTAAGATTATGTATTTTGGAATTAATTAATATGGACTTAATTAGTATGATTACGTATTCAAAATCAAATTAGCTGTTATTCAAACTAGCCGTTATTCAAAGTCAAACTAGCTGTTATTTAAACTAGTCGTTATTCAAAGTAGTCTTATAAATAGTATTAACATCTTGCATTTTTTACAATTTGTTATCGTCTTCTACTAAATATCAAACTTCTTTTCACATGGATCCTTCCAATCCTTCCCACATTGCAAAAATGTTTATGGATTATATGAATGATGACATGGATGAAGAACTTGTGAGGTTGTTTATGGAAGAAGAAGCCTCGAGCTCTAGAAGGCCTAGGCGTCAAAGAAGGAATATAGAGAGGAATCGTGAAGAGGGACATGAACGATTGTTCAAAGATTATTTTTCAGAAACTCCGGTATACACAAATGAGCAGTTTCGTAAAAGGTACCGAATGCATAAACATGTGTTCCTTCATATTATTGAAGCTCTAGGTCAACATGATGAGTATTTTCGAATGATGGTTGATGCAACAGGTAGGGCAAGTCTTTCACCATTACAAAAATGCACTGCTGTTATCTGTATGTTAGCATATGGAACATCTGCTGATAGTGTGGATGACTATTTGAGAATTGGTGAAACCACGACACTAAAATGTGTTGATAAGTTTACATGAGGAGTGATCAACATCTTTGATGCATAATATTTGTGAAGGCCAAACGCCGAAGACATTGAACGCTTAATGCAAATGGGAGAGACACGAGGATTTCCAGGTATGTTAGGGAGCATTGACTGCATGCATTGGGAATGGAAAAATTATCCTGTTGCATTGAAAGGACAATATGTTCGAGGCGATCATGGGAAACCAACTGTTATGCTTGAAGCAGTGGCTTCACAAGACTTATGGATTTGGCATGCATTCTTTGGGGTAGCGGGTTCAAACAACGATATTAATGTGTTGAACCAATCCAATGTCTTCAACGATGTTCTGCAAGGACGAGCTCCCGAGGTTCATTATACAATCAATCGTACTGAATACAACAAGGGTTATTATCTATCAGATGGTATTTATCCTGAATGCGCCACGTTTGTAAAAAGTATCCTGATGCCACAAGGGGATAAGAGAAAATTGTTTGCCCAACATCAAGAAGGGGCAAGAAAGGATATTGAACGAGCATTTGGAGTTCTTCTATCCCGATTTGTGATCATACGTAATCCAACACGATCTTGGCACTTAGACACATTCCAGCGCATAATGAATACATGCATCATATTACACAACATGATTGTTGAAGATGAACGTGCAACATATGGTGAAATTTTTGATTTTTCTTATGATCATTTGAGTAATGATGCGACAATATTGTCGAATGATTCTAATATTGATTTTCAAGAGTTCATGTGTAGAAGATTTGATATTCGTGATAAACAAGTTCATCGACACCTTCAACAAGACTTGATAGAACATATATGGCAACGTTATGGACATGAGAATAACAACAATTGAAAAATATTTTAAATATATATTTTTATTGTATTTTGTGCTAGTAACTTATTTTAATAATGTATTTTTTAATGTTTTTTAATTAATTATTTGTGTGATGTATTGTGTTTTTTAATATATATATATATATATATATATATATATATATATATATATATATATATATATATATATATATATATATATATATATATATATATATATATATATATATATATATATATATATATATATATATATATATATATATATATATATATATATTTATATATATATATATATATATATATATATATAATTTTATTTTAAATATATAATTTTTTAATGTATTTTGATATATTTGAATTAAATTGATTCAATTATTTATTTATATAATTAAAATGTTGGATATATTGTGAGATTTAGTGGGACCAATTTTAGAGTTTTTGATGAGTTGTATGAATATTTGAAAAATGTAGTTGAGTTGTTTAGAAAATATTGAAATGGAATATAATATAAAAAAATACGTGGACCCCATCTAAAGAACCAAAGTGGGGATAATGAGTGTGATGCTCTTAGTGCATGCTCTGTGGTATTAAATTCGTTAATAATAACAGTATTTATAAGCAATTTGCATTGAAATAAGAATGACATGGGAGTAAGTGAACTAACAATTAGTGGGAGTAAACTATATAACCAACGCACATTATCCATTATGGGCCAATTTGTTTTACCTTTAAAAAAATAGATTTTTTTTTGTATTTTTGAAAATAAATTCTACAAAAATATTTTTCAAATTATTACAAGTTCTTTTAAATTTACTTTTTATAAATCAAAAGACAAAATTTGATATATTATAAGATAAACATATATTATTTAACGATCAAAACATAGTCAAAATTATAGTTTTTTTAAAAAATTGTATCTCAAAATTTACTTTTATAAAAAATTATTTGAAATAGCTTCAAAATTAAATAATTTTTTAAAATTTTAACACAAATTTTTTTTTTTGATAAAATACATAAAATAACATTATAAAAATAAATATTCAAACTAAATTTTCATTTAAAATTTTTATAAAAAAAATTTCATAAAAAAATTTTACACCAAAATTTATTACACCATAAAAATTATTCTTTTAAAAAGACAAAATGACGGGGCCATAATACCTAGTTTACTATATGTTATGATAACAACTTAATTGCGTAAGTGTTATCTCGTCATCTTGTTAAAAATGAGAGTATTGTAATACACATTTTATCTTAATAATTACAAAATTAAGCAACAATTATAGTCATAATCTTCTCTGCTTCAAAATCCTTTTGTGGCCATATCATTAAAGTTGTCAAGAATCCAAATTAAACTAATCAAGTAAACCATGTCTTTCAATAACACTAGGATACGCATACTAAATCAAAATACAAAAGCAATCTGTCTTCAATCTATATCATGTAATTAAACGTGGACCGAAGAACAAGTTGGCGATTAAGACTAGCCACATGGAATTCTGCATGCAAGACAATGACATATGACTCTACAGTATAAATTCTTGTGACAACTGCCAAGAATCAATTAACGTATTACTTTATTGATATCAAATCATTATTTTTTAATCAAACTAAATATTTTTTGTAAATAATCTCACAAAAGCTAGTTTAATGATATTCTTGCAAATAATGAGTGCAACGTGCCAACAACTAAACAGTTGACAAAATCGTAATCCTAATTATCAGACACTGCTTTGAGAACTTATGACATAGAAAAATGTATGTTTAGACTTAAACTAGAAAAAAATTCCTTACCGCAGCTCGCGATACCCTTAGATTATAAGGATTTCCATAGACCATAGTTGCTGCAAATTTTTAGTTGTGGGTAGAGAATCCAAGTTTGACTTAAATATGCTTATTTTTCATCTTTTTAATATGCGATTAAACAAAAATAAATAATAATGTGACACTATTTGGTTAAATGATAGTTGTTGGATTGAAGTGACTTGTTTACATTGATTATAAAAATTTTAAATTAAAAAAAAAGTAAAATTTAAATAGTCACACTTATATATATATATATATATATATATATATATATATATATATATATATATATATATATATATATATATATATATATATATATATATATATATATATATATATATATATATATATATATATATATATATATATATATATATATATATATATATATATATATATATATATATATATATATATATATATAAAATCCTTTCAAATTTAAGTGAAAATGATATGTGTCGCTCTTTTATAATTCAAAAGAATTTATTCATTGTAGTTGATCTTTTCGGTTGATCAGAATCTGAGTTGGGCTAGAGACATCGTCTACGATGCTGAAATCTAAGGAGGAGGGGGTGTACCTGCAAAACACTCTTATGCTAGAGTAAGAATCAGGAGATGAGAAGGCAAGTACAAAGTAAGTATTCTTGAGAATGATTATTGAATATTTGATCCTCTCAAAGGAGATGGTTTTTATAATGCCCTCAGCGTTTGGCCATTGGTCCCTATTTTCGGGTTGAGATATTCGCTCTCTAAAAATGGGTAATTGCCAAAAACGAGACGAGTAGACATGTTTGAAACTAGTCGTTGCTTTAAGCATGGGTGTGGTTGCGGACAAGGGCGTTGTGGTCGTTCTTGGATGGTTGAACCTTGCGTGACGGGCAGAGATGTGACGAAGGACAACTGATCTTGGGGGTCAGCTGGCCAACCCTCACCGACTGAGGGGAAGAATAGAAAATGTTTTCCTTTGCCCTTAACTGGCAAGGCTTAGACTATTGGATCGTTCTGGGATGCAGAAGTGGATTGGGTCATGCCTAGTCACTGGGTCAGTCCAAAATATGAGCCCCATAAGTCGTTGCTCATGAGTATAAGAGTGATGACTTAAAGGCGGCCCATGGTCACGAGAAGGAGTATACATGTTCAACGCTTGTTACTAAGACGAGGCTGTTTCGTGGTTCTCGACGATACATGTGTCCGAGGAACCTGAAACTTTATCCCACGTGTCCGGCGAGCGGGGAGCCCAGCGGTTGATGGGACTTGAAGGGATGGAGTGTAACACTTGCATCGATCTACGTGTCACATTTAATGCGTAATGATGGCTATGTTAGGGTTATGATGATGACCTTACGTCGTGCGTGTTCGTGCACGTGCTTCTGACTCGTCTATAAATAGAGGAGGAATCGTTCATTTTCACTTTTTGCTTCTCTCTCTTCTTCTAATGTTGTCGTCGTTTCCGCCATCCACCGCTGCACGAGCACCGGCTGAGCTTCACCGACCACCATTTTTCTCTCTTCGAACACGTAAGATTCTGATCCTTCTTTGTTTCACGCCAGTTTTAATCCTATTTTGCTTAGATTTGCATGCGGTTAGGACGAAAAACTGGGTAGAGTAGGTGCATTCCGGCAGATGTTGGTGTTTGGCGGTGATTGAGCCATTTTCTGCCGTCGGCGACGTCGTCAGAATGTTAGGAATTTAGACTTTTGTGTTGGTTCTGGCACCGTTATGACGACGAATGAGTTTATCGCTGGTGGAAATTATGAAGCTTCTGGTATACTCATGAGTTTTCTGGTGGATCTTCGACGAAATTCTAGATAAAGTGTCGGGGAGGATCTCCCCGTGAGGGTTTAAGGGATTGCCAAGGAGAATCTCCCTGCACCTTCGTTGCACTGTTTGAGTAAGGGTTTAGGTCGAGGACATTGTCCTTGGGCCTACGCACCCTTTCACTTGACTAGAGGTGGAAGGTTGGATTTGATTTTGCCATCGAATTCACTTTTTCCTCTACTTTTTAGGTAAAAGAGATGTCTCGCAATCCCGAGGATGACGTTATGCTCGAGCGGAAGCTGTCTGAGGAGAGTTTTTCAGGTGACAACAGTTCTGATGAAATCGCTCCTGGGTGTCCCGGGGAAGAATGGATTGTTGTTGAGCCTCAGGAGCATGCCTCCCTCTTCGCCTTCCATACTCAGGATGCCTTCACGACGGTGGGGGATGAGGAAGACTGAAGGGTCCACTTTCTCGAGAAAGATGACCGGATATGCTCGACTTACAACCCCGAGTGTTTTTCCATGTACGAATACATTTTTAAGGAGATTGGGCTGAGGCTGCCCTTCACAGACTTTCAAGTGGCAGTCTTTGGTCATCTAGACTTGGAGCCCTCTCAGCTCCATCCGAACTCGATTGCATTCATCCATAAATTCGAGATTACGTACGAGTATTTGAAGATTGGAGCCATTCTCCCTCTCTTCTTCACTGTCTTCCACCTCTAACGACAGGTCGTGCGAGAGCAGTTCAGATGGGTTTCCCTAAAGTAGGGGAGGAAGCTGTTCAAGGCCTTTTCGGAGTCTATTAGGACATTCAAGGAAAGGCACTATATCATGGAGCCTGTGTAGGAGAGGGACAAATACTTTTTGTTTCTCCGGGGTAGAGCTAGTTACCGCGGGGACAAGATTTCTCCACAGCATGGCGGATGGCCGGATCGTCATCCCCGATTTCCTCAGACTGAACAAGGAGAACGAGCAGCCTGCCCACGAGGAGCCGCAACCAAATACTGATTAATTTTCTGTTGTCTTTCCGGCCTGCGCGTCGTATTGTAATTTCTTTGGATGGGGCTTGGCCCTTTTTTTATGTAATCCTTACGATTGCGGTCCTTGTGGCCGTTTTTTTTATATGTGATTTCGGTCGTGGTGGTCGCTTATGTATGTTATTTTGGATATTTGTGCGTGCATGTTTTTACTTTGCTTAATTTCTCTAAGTGTCACGCTCTGCTTATCGTGAGTGCCTGTTTGTATGGATTGTTTTCGTGAATGATTATTGTGTTGCGGGGTTTGTTCGACAAATAGTTGTTCAATAGTGAGGAGAATTGGTCAAAAGGCCTGGGTAGTTTCCCGACAAGAGAGCACAGGTCAGGTCACGTTCGCGGCCTGAGTTCTATGGCGTGAACTTCCCATCGCGAGCAGGGGTTTTGCTCATTCTATAGTAAAATCCTGCCATGAT